TAAAAGAATAGTGAGTTGATTTTAACGTGTCACATGTGGCATAACATAGGTAAGGGTCAATGTAATGAATCAAATGTTTAAATGACACCTAGTAAACCCGTAATTCTGATGTTGCATTCATCTTGATTTTTTTACAAAATAGTAATATGAAAATTATAAGGTTTTATTAGGTACTGTCACTGGTTTCCTTTGTCAATCATTATTTTATAATCATTTTTTTAAATTAAACACATATTTTATATGTTTTCTTTTTCGTGTAGAAACACCACGGGTCATCACTACACCGACGCTCATGGTGAAGCGGTGTATCGGAATCGAACCGACTAAAACCACAGTGTCACATGTGAGTCGGATATTCTCTTGGAAGGAAGTCCCCGAGATCCATGGATTGGCCGCCATAGGCAGCCACACCATTCATGATGAAGTAATAGAGGCTTATAACTAACATTGAATCAATTCACTATACGTCTTACTCAATGTTCATAATTAACACCGAGTTTAAATTTACGTAGCTTGTTTCAACAGCTGTGTCGATTCGGGAATGCCGTCAATGAATATCTACATAGGTGTGTTGGAGGTCTTAAATTAAGGAAATCTTATTACGAAATTCCGACGTGTGTCGCCGGCTAAAAGCCGGAGCGGGGATCCGTGTGGGCCTAATGAACGTGTTCAAAATTTATAACACCTTTAACCTTTTAGTTACTTTGCAAGAAGTAAATTGGACCTCAAACACGCTTATCGTAATAGGCGATAACTTTTCTATATTTTATACATTCCCCGTGTCAAATTTTGTTTCCGTAACGAGCACGAGTAAGGTTACACTAAACGCTTAAAGCTTTCACAATTCGTAATAACATTTTCACTTACCTTTCACATCTGTTGATTCAGATTTCGCTAATTTGCCGTAGCACATAAAACCTATATCATCATCTCAGGACGTTTATCAGTCAGATGGATACCTAAAAATGTGCCTGTAGTAAATTTTGGACCGATAAGGAATTCCACTTTCCATCCGCACCTCACTTTTCATTTCATCTTATTTAAGATTTATCGACAAGATTTCTTAATGGATTTTATGTTCCTATATGTCTTTGGCGCTTCATGGAAAATATTAAATCAAATTTTTTTGAACTGTTTGAGCTAGTATAGGAAGCGTTATTTAATTTGTGTAACATTGATGTAATCAATATTCTTATAGTATCTAGATTAAGAAATTTAGTTCTTCGTAATTAATTAAATACTTTTTACCTCAACACCTTTCAATTCAGTCTCCCCGATCAAAGCAACCTAGTAAGGCTTGTACGACGTGCACTACGGAAATAGGTACAGCTAGGCACTTTCTGATACGTTGTAAAGCGCTATTAGACCAGCGTCATTATTCACGTCTCCGTGATAGGGTATTACAAATCATACGTGAAGCTATAAGTTTATCACTGGCGAGAGCCAAAAAGGAATAACAACCTACATACGAACTAACATCGCGTTTGTAAAGGTCAACAAAAAAGACTTCACAAAAGCCGTACTAAATTACAAATACCGCCAGTGACTGGAAATTTTTAGTGGACACGTATGAAAATCTAGTACTAGTAGAACTCAAGGTGCCGTGGGAAACGAACATACCTAAAGACCACGCTTTAAAAAGAAAAAAGTACTTTGACTTAACCAATGAAATAACTAAAAATGGTTATGTCGTTGCGTTGTATGCCGTGGAAATGGGTGCGAGAGCCACTAAAGCTAAACGAGGACCAGCTAAATCCCTCTATAACCTGCCTAAAGACCTTGGATTGTCAAGAGCTTCAGTAAGCTCTTTTCTTGAACGAATACCCAAAGCGGCATTGCTAAGGTCGTATCAAATATGGTTAGGTAGAGGGGGTAACACAGCAGACAGTGAAGGCGAGCGCTGACGCGTCGCAAGGAGTACTCCCTAAACCTATACCTGGGTCACAAGTCCCAGGGGCTGTCGAAGTCGCATGTGTTGCCCCCATCTATCACGGGATGGACCCGGTACCCGCACAGTGAATCCATCGAACGCTAAGAAATAGGTCTCGTCTGTTTTAAGTCTTTCTGAAAAACCCTGGGTTAGACAGCGGGTGAGACGGGACGACGACGCAGCGTGAGCGGTCGAAAAATACTAGTACTAAGCGTGAAGGTGTTCCATATTAACTAGTATCTTAAAGCTAAGTCAGACAGCAAGTGGGCGAAATGAAGACGCGAAGTGAGTAGATTGTGTAGCTAATATAGGAGATGTCCTACAGATGTTGCGCTTGGCGCTACAGCGGCTCTGCTTTTCATTCAGCTTTCGTTTCATGCTTCATTGTTGTTTCATTTCTGCTTGGAGCCGTTTCCGAGATTAAGATTTTATATATATATAAATATATATACACATATATACAAGAATTGCTCGTTTAAAGGTATTAGGTATACTAAAACTGAAATATTTGTGAAGTCATTGTCACTATGACATGTTGTTATTAACAAAACATGACCATTGTATCATATTATTAGGTCCTTACATATGAAAGTGGCGTTTTATACGGGTGGAATATAAAGTCAATTATTTTTTTGTAATTAATAAAAGTATGCACCGTTGTTATCTATGCACTTTTGCCATCTCATAGGTAGTTCATTGATCCCTTTACTAAAGAAACCATGGGGGCGAGAATCAATAAACTCTTTGAAGGAGGTTTGGACTGCTGCATCGGAATTAAATTATTTTCCTTGTAAGAAGTTGTCAAACTTCCGAAAAAAAAGGTAATCTATTAGAGCAAGGTCCGGGGAGTGCCGTATATGTCGCAGACATACCAATTGTAGCTCATCTAAGTCAGTGGTTGTTTTTTGTGCAGTGTGTGGTCTTGCGCTGTCGTGAAGCAGCACTGGCCTAGAGCGATTGACCAATCTCGGTTGTTTAGCAGCTAGTTCTTCCTTCATGGTTTGCAGTTGCTGATAATAGATATCTGCCGTAATCGTTTGGCCAGATTTTAGAAAGCTGTAGTGAACGACACCGGCGCTAGTCCACCAAACACTCATAAGTAAGTCAATTTTCGTTTAGGGCAGGATCAAGGTGGGTCTCCAAGGTTCAGCCATTGCGACGAGCACTTCCGATTATCGTACAGTATCCACTTTTCAAGGAATTTTAAATCGAATCATTACTTGTAGTAATGATTCGATTTAAAATCATTATTGTGTCGGTTGAGCAAAGTAACATAGCAGTCGACGCGTGTTTGCAAGTTCGATTCACTCAATTCATGAGGTTTCGGGAAAGTAAAAAAACTTGAACGATGGGTCGTTCAAGTTTTTTTACTTTCCCGATTTGCTTAAAGTGGATTAATACAGTTTTATCACTTACCCCGAAGCCTGCAGCTATCTCTGAAGTGCTTTGTGATGAATCCGCTTCCACAATAGCCTTTAATTCTTCATTTTCCACTTTGGTCTCCGGCCGTCCAAGGGGTTAGTTCTGAAGGTCGAAATTTACAGAACGAAAACGTTGAAACCAAAAACATACCGTGCTTTCTGTTACGACACCAGCGCCGTACACATCATTAATCCTTCGAGCTGTTTCTGCAGCACTGGTGCCACGGTAGAACTCGTACTCGTATTGTGCGGTAATAAGCGAAGGCCAAAGAAAAAAATAATTAAGATAAAACAAATGAATTACTGTTTTCAAAACTCAAATGTACCGGCGAAATGAATTTATAAATATGAATTTGGAATTCTGAACCAAAGAGGAAATATTTCAGATCAAAGTGGTCGGTACCACAAAACGCTAATTTCATATGTAAGGACCTAACATTATGTAAATTTGCAATATTTATATTTCATTTCTTTTGTATATAAAATTTGCATAAAAATTTATTTTTAACAACTATCACAAAATTAATGAGCACAAATTATGACAAAGTATAGGAAGCTGTATTCCTTATTCCACCACTAGAGATGCTAAATTTACTTTAAATTAAGTGAATCAAAAAATTAAACTAAATTAAGTATTATTGAAATCGAATCTCATAATATGGTGAAGAAAAAGTAGAAGATACTTGCAAAAAAAATATATTTGAATGAATCCCATTTCTTTGAAGTCCTTTTTTTTTTTTTTTTTTCCGTGCGGAAATCCCCTCGGATACCACCTGTCGGTGGCATGTCGGACTCGAACCGACTAAAACCGCACGCCTTCGCCGGGTACTAATAGCCGGGGAACAGGACAAAAATACCCTCAGCTATAAATATTCATATAGAAGTTACTAGTTACCTTCATTCATTAGTTTCTAAATTTCAATATGCTATATATATTCTAAAATACAATAGGACTTAGAAACACAATTTAAAATAATAAAACTGAAATAAGAAAAATATTTTATGTTTATTAGGTAGACATATAATTATATTTAAGGTACTTAATGTTAAGGAAATTAAAATTTTAAATTAAAACATAACATAATAATAATTCTTACTCTAAATAACCAATAATGTTATCTATCTATGTTATCTAGTTCAAATAATTTTACTACGATTACTTTTTTTCAAACCAATGTCATGAAAATTTTACAAAACTTATAACTTAACAAAACCAACATAAGTAACTTTTGAGACAAAAGTTGAATGTCGTTTACCATTGTAGTCATAAGAATAATAGTATTTTAAAGTACCTATTATGTAGTAAAAAGTGTTTTGACTATACTTCAAAAAAAGTACTTTTTGCGAATGAAAGGTAGTCTATCTGCTCTTTACACCTGACATATGTAAAATTTGTTGACAATCAGATTATCGCTAAACAGCGCACAAATTATGGAAAAACATTTATTTTCATAAATAAAAATTGTTTTTTATTACATTTACATTGATGTCTATTCCGATCTAAGGTGTGAAAAAATGAATATATTTTAATGTATAAACAATACAAATCAATATTTTTCTTATTTGGCATTTGCCCGTTTTCATAAAAAACGTTGTAAAGAAAAGATGTTGTCACTCCAGCACAGCTAGAGAGAGGGAGAGCTCAGTTCTTATACCTTACTAACAAACATAGCAATAACAATAGCTACAACTCCTAAGAAAGATATTTCAGGGCGGAGTCCCGGTGACCCACTGATGCTTCGGATCCACTCTGTATAGTTCGAAACACGGGTGTAAACTTCAGGACTTGCAGCAAAGGCACATTGATTAGTTTCGAACAAAATTCCGGTAAGGACCCCGTTACATACTAATGGTACACCTTCATCCCCCTGTAAATATAAAAGAAAAAAATAAGTAATAAGCAAATTATAGTGCTATATAAAAGTTCATTTTTTCTGTGGCTTAGGGGGCAAACTCCTGGTAGTGTTGTCGGAGAGAGCCGTCGTCTACCCAAGTAGGACCGGTCTCGGTCGGCGTGAAATGTCGTGCGGAGTTCCGCAGAGTTCGGTGTTAGGGGCCGCTCCTGTGGAACATCGACTACGACTGGATGCTTCGCGGTGCCTTCTTAGATGGTGTCGCTGTCACGTGTTATGCGGACGATACGCTTGTGACGGCGTGCGGCGACACGCACCGTGAAGCAACCCTGAATCATTTTCGAGGTCCCCAAGCTGGTTGGTCCCCAAGCTGGATGCTTCGGGGATCACCTGTATCTGATCTGCAAGGAGTCAACGCCTGAGTTGACACTGGTAACCCACTGCGATGGTCGGAACGTGGACAGCGCACTCTACACGCTGGCAGAATTCCCAGGGTGTGGAGCGCGCCGTGGGTTCAGCAGAGACGTAATCTCGTAGCGGCCATCGGAGTGGACATTCTCTCGCTTAGTACAATGATTGCGGTCATGCTACGGAGCAAGAGCGCGTGAAACTCCGCTGTCTCCTTTTGCGAGGAAGTTATGCTTGCAAAGGAGATGGCGGGGCGGGACCGGGAGAGGTTTAGAACTCTCCCGCCCGCTAGGCCCGGGAACGGCAACTCAAGAGTCACAAGTACTTTCCCGCCCTTTGCTTCCCCCCCCCCCCTCCTCCAGAATCTGTTTGTTCTAATATAATATATTAATATAATATTCACACACATTTTACACACGGCCGTCTGATCCCAAACTAGGCAGAAAATGTACTATGGGAACTATACTGCTGATAAACATACTTATATATTTCTAAATACATACAGATTATAGATAAAGTACACCCAGACACAGAACAAACCGTGCTCATCACACAAATATTTGTTTTGGGTGGGAATCAAACCCACGACCGTAGCAGTCAGGGTCACTAACAACTAGACCAACAGGCCAGTCAAAACTAGCTAGCTAGTTTTAATTTGTTGGTTAAGTGTGTGTATAGTAGGCCAAAACCTCCTTTCTAAGGAGAGGCCTATGTCCAGCAGTGGACTAGTATAGGCTGTTGATGATAATGTAAAATGTAAATCTAGATTTGAGGTCATTAAAATCATACTATTACTTAAAAAAAATACATGAAAAAACTATATTTGTAAAATTAACAACAAACACATTAAAGATTCGTTTAGAGAATTCTAAGAATGTAATATAACGATGTCAGGCATAACTAGCTAAAATATTTCCTCGAGAATACAGCACGTATGTATTTATATCAACCTGACTTACCTTTACAGAATAACCAGGAGTAAGTACGCGGTTTATTCTCAAAAAAGATCTGATCCCCAAATAATTGCATGAAATAAAGGCTACAAAACAAATTCACCGGAGTTTTTCCTTAAAGCTCTCGAAATTCTAATAATAATGCGTAATTTTTTTGTTTCTAATAACTTGAGATTTCGATAAAAATAAATTACACATACGGCCATCTAATCCCAAATTAAAGCCTGTACTACGGTAACTAGACTACTGATAATAAGTGTAAATCACAGCTATACACAGAACAAGTGATTTTGCTAACCACATAATGAGAATGACTAACAACTAGACAATTCATAACTTTTCTGTCTTTTGGTGGTAACATTACAATGTAACTTATAACAAAGACAAAATTTAAATACTTACATAGCAACCTGAAGAAACTACGTCTAATGTCGCCGCACAAATCATACTGGGAAATACGTTAACGGTAAATGGCCTTTGGCTGTATACACTCCTGCAGAGGTTATGGCTGTAGATAAATTTGTTAGTGGCACGTAACGAAACACTTGCCTGAAATAAAATACAAATATGATGCTATGTAGTGGCTATTTTGATCAATCAAAAAAAATAGATTGTATTGCTTAAAAGATTTAAATAAACCTAGACTAGCAAAGTAACATTTAATTATTGAAATCAACAATTATCATATTATTTAGATACAAATTCGAACTCGCATCTATTCAAATAATAAAATATCTTAGGGATACTGTCTTTATAAAAGAATGCTAATGGCAGTATCAATAGTTTTTTTCTATCATCTATTAACACATTCGTACTTATGTTATAAAAGTGAAAGTGAGTTTGTTTGTTTGTTACGCTTTCAAATCTAAACTATATAATTCGTTTTTATTTTTTTTACACTAATGGAAAACTACATTACGAGTATCAGCGGGTAACATAGGCTACTTTTCTCTCTTTTCTCTTGTTTTTCTATGAATTTAACCTTTATTTTGTTGTTTTTTTTTAAATAATTTTTAAGTTTGTTTTTTTTAAATTCATTAGATATATTAGGAACTTACATTTTCATGGATAGACTCAGCTCCCCAGCTAGCGATTTGGCAAACGGTGAAGTCTGCAGGATCAAAGTTTGCTGCCGGCAGGGCCAATGGTGTTCCTATTGTGTTCAAATAGGGCGTGGTAAGCTGAAAAAAAAAAGAATTTTATAAATATAAAAATATATATAATTGTGTTATTAGAAGCCGAAAATCCATCGAAGTGGCTTGCAATAAGAGAGCCCTATGTCCAGCAGTGGACTGCGATAGGCTGATGATGTTGATATACGATAGACTGATTTCACAATGGCAAACAATACTCATATTATTAATCTCTAAGTATTTTAAATAAGCCTTAAAGAGTAATTTACCTGATGAAAAGAGACTATCGCCGCCCAGAGGAGGTATTGTAAGGTCTTTATTTATAGTTGTACTCATGAATGTATCTTGGATTTTTCTATAAGAGGTATAGAAAAAAAAAGGTTCTACATGATAAGAGGCGGACCTATCACCATGTACCGAGAGCTAAGCTTTGTTACTATGGTGAAATATAAACACCCTACTTGATTAATGATGAAGGTTATCGTTGCCAAGAGAATGCTGCCTCTACCCAGGTACAATATAACAGGCAAAGTTTAATAGACAGAGGGATCCTATCTTCTGGTGAAGTCACACTTTTACAGGACAAACACACTGGTGTGCACTCGAGCCTCTGTGAGCTATTATAGTCTCATTCCTTCACCTAACCCTTTTTCGCTTTAACCCAAGTAAGTATCTCCGTTTGTTCCGAACAAGACAAAACTCTTTCACAATATTACATATTGCGTCAGCCCACATAGATTTAGGAGATGGACACGAAGATTGGGCAGGAAGATAATGGGGACTATGATGAGTAATCTACGGCAAGCTTAAAAAAATTAAGGGTAGTGGACTTTCTATATACTGTACTAATAATAATAATAATCATTAATTTCGCAAGACAGAATTGCAGAAGTACATTATCATTAAAGTTACAATTTTCTTGTGGGTACATAAGTTTTGAACCCTGACATCCAAACTAGGTACATATAGTTTCTATATACTGGGACCCAGTATATGGCAAGTCCACTACCCTTAATTTTTTTGCCAGTCAGTCAAGCCAGTAACTGGGTCTACCAATAGGGATGACCTGGTTTTGACAGCTCATAGCAGCCATGTTTGATGATGGATCTTTGACGTCTCTTGACATTTGTGTTCAGCAAGGTTTGCCATTTTATCATGTCACGTTTCACTTTAAACCAACGCTTGGAAATTGTCCAAAACTTCTTTGAAAGTGACGAAGGAAACCCTGTTACTGTGAATGGCGAGCGCTATAACTCGATGTTAACCGAATATTTCTTTCCGGAATTTGATGATATTGATGCAGATGACCTTTATTTTCAACAAGACCTCACATTCCTCGAGTGAACATGGAATTATTGCGATGAAAGTTTGGTGAGTCGTTAATTTCGAGAAATGGACCGATCAGTTGGCCACCGAGATCGTGTGATTTAACACCTTTAGACTATTTTGTTTGGGGTTACGTTAAGTCTAAAGTGTACAGCAATAATCCAGCTACAATTCGTGATCTAAAAACCAACATTCGACGAGCCATAGCCGACATATCGGCCGAAATGATCCACCGCGTCATCGAAAATTGGCGTGAGCGGTTGACCTTCTGCAAAAAGAGCCTCGGCGGTCATTTGGCCGATATATTATTTAAAACATAAATTGCATTAAATTATCTATCAAATAAATCAATCGGATGCATTTTTCATAAAAAATTGTGTGTTGTATTCAATTTTTAAACCAGGACGTTCTTATTGGTAAACCCCATATATCCATGCATTTATTATTCAAGAAAGAAAAAAAGTGATGTCCAAAACACAGGTCTGTACCTAGTTTGGATTTCAGGGTTCAAAACTTATGTACCCACAAGAAAATTGTAACTTTAATGATAATGTACTTCTGCAATTCTGTCTTGCGAAATAAATGATTATTATTATTATTAAATAATTAAATGCCAGTGTAAAGCTTTAATACTTACAGTGATGATAGCAATATTGTTGAGCGATGACGGGGGATGAATATATCCGGGATGAATAGTTATGTTAGCTATGGGTCTAATGCGGTTAGTATCAGTGTCGTTTGTCAGCATAGTTGCACCCGCAAATACTCTGTGCTGGGAGACGTCTATTTGGAATAAAACCCTGTAAAAATAGTAATTTTAATTGACCCTGTAACTTTAAGTGATTTAAAAAAATATTGCTGTTGGGTGCTGATCTTTTTAAATGATTTAAAATATAATAATATAAGATGAAAAATTATTTAAATAACACCTTATTTCCGTTTGAGTCAGGCAGAGCTAGAACGTCATTTGCCATCATCTTATCATACAGGTTGCGTTTCTTTCACATTCATCACACGTTTCATACACACTCACTGGTTAGGTACTGATGATTTTATGAATTATCAAATTCAAATATTTTTTCTGATCGTTATAAACTTAGTCATAAAGACATCCTAACTAAAATTATAAATGCGAATGTGAGTTTGTTACGCTTTCACGGTTAAACAGCTAAACCTAAAGGCATGGAGATACTTGGATTATTGGGAAAGGACATACTCTACTTATTACCGCGATGAACGATATACACGCTAGTACTTAATAAATCTTATTATTATTAATCAAGATGACTTATTTCGTATTTTAATGAAAATCAAACATAATCTTTGCAGATGTAAAATAAATCATTGAAATTAAATTAAGATCTTTGTGTCCGTTTCGTATATGTTTGTAAAATACCCCGCGTCACAGGATTTATTCCAAGTGCGGGAATTGTCTTCTAGATAAAGAAAGAACTGTATCTTTTTAGTTATTCATTATAAATTTGTTATTATATCATATGTGAAAAGTTGTCACATGTTTACCTGGCCTTAGTACATTGCACTTAACATAGACTCACAACTAATCAAACAATTATCATAATACGTTGATTACTCTATCACGTGAGCATTATATTGACTTTTTCCTTAAACCAATGTCACTGTTTTTTTATACAATCAAGTAAAATGATAACTTCGACGTACGTAAATAGATAACAAATCAAAGATGCAGCCGATATCAGTACATAAAATCACGAGCTCGTTAAACAATTACCACATAAACTCCCAATAATAGTAACAAATCTAAAAAAAGATTCAGTGAAGAGTACTATTGCATTCCTAACTGCATCGTTCAAGTCAAGAGTTGGATTCCACTCCGTCGAAACAATCTCATTCGCGTATAATTTTTAACAAGAACTGTAAGAAAAAAATACTGCACTACAATTAACTACTACTACTACTAAGTCATCGTGGTTAGGTTTCGGATAAGCTCACTCACTCGGTAAAATGCAACGAAGGGATTGCTACTGCTTATAGTGAGGCCGTGGTTTCACTTCGGCGTGCTTTTAGAGTCAAGCATTGGCACAAATAGGCGTGCGTCTTTTTGTGTCAAAGCTTGACTCTAAAATTGTGCCATACTGCCAACGTTACTTAAAATGCAGTAAGTAATGAGACTCATACTAACCCATTGATCACTTGAAATGCACACGTTGCTGCTGTCAGTGCATGTTGAAGGGTTATTAAAACTCCACCGCATACGTGACCGCGTGTTGGCTGGGCCAATTCTGACAGCCTTTGCAATGAAATCTGCAAATCAAAAGTTCTTTCTCCATCAAAAGGAATTACTGGGTTTATTACCAATAAAAACTTAACATGTGGAGCAACGGGTGTCATGTCCCTCCAACACAAAAGAAGAATCCGATCATCTCGCCTGCTCGGAACCAGGCATGATCATGCCTGGCAGGCCGCGGCCCAATGGTTGAGGTTGGAAAGTTTTATATATGCTAATCGTCAACGCAATTGTTAATATCGTGATACAGGATTAGCAGTTACTCCGTAGTTCAGTGTACCTTCATTGGATGGCGTTGTAGTGCTGTCATGTTTTTGTTTCATGGTATGTGAAAGTCGCCACACCACTCCCCTCCAAGACCGGAGGTCGATATATGATGAGTCAGCCATCTATGTTCTGTTGTGGAGCGTACCAGTGCGGGGCCGTAGGCTGGATGTGGCCGAGGTTGCTGGCTGGCTGAGAATTGATTACTGCTCATCGGACTACTGTTGGAGTATACACCATGGTGGCGATGATGCTGCTGCAGATCTTCTTTGAAGGCTGCTTGCAATTACGTCGATGTCACGGGTCACTACTGTAGAGGAACGGGTGTCATGTCCCTCCAACACAGAGGGAGGACCTTCCGACCAGGTGAGGTGATCATGCTTGGCGGACTGCAGTTCAACGGTTGATGTCGGGAAGTTGTGTATATGCTAATTGACGAAATAATTGTTAGTCCCGCTATACAGGATTAGCAGTTACTCCGTAGTTCAGTGTGCCTCCGTTAGATGGCGTTGTAGTATGTTTCTGTTCCATGGCATGTGGAAGTCGCCACAAACATTTAAGAGAAAATTACAAAAGGTGCATTCTATAGGATGTACTTTCTTTCCAAGAACATGTCTTTATCCTGCTGCTGTTATTAAGACATACCGGGCCTGGGTACTATGGCGCACCAACCAACATATTACAGATAATTTGGACATTTTATTTTATTTTCCTTTTTATTATATATTTATTTTCTATTTTTTTTTGGACATTTTGTTTTATTTTCCTTTTTATTATATATTTATTTTCTATGCAGACATAGTCAAAATATCTGAACGTTCAATCAACATCCTTGGTACAAACAAAAATGAAGCTATTGGCAGTTAATTCATGCCAGTCTTTTCTCTCAGGAAATGTTAGCTTCACTTTTAATTTTTAAATGCAATTGAACAATTACAATTTCAAAATGTTAAAAATCACAAAATTGCCCATATTATACGTTACTTTTATTAACGTTCTACGCTATCATCTGCTTCCATTTCCTAAATATGTCACACCTGTGTAAATGTGAAAAACCGCAGATTTTACATATTAGGGAGGTAACATAATTAAGAAAACATAAAATTATTGCTTACCGAATAATTAAAATTTTCAATCGGAGCCACCTCGGCATTGGTAATCCGATTAGTTATTAAGTCATCAATATACAACGCGTTGCAACCTGCGAAAAAACACCCAGACATAATATTTACAACACATTATTTTAGACACATTTTACAAAATATTCCATTAAATTTAACGATCTTCAATTTAGAAATCAAGATTCAATTTAGAAACTTTCATAAAGTATATTTCAATTGGTCTAAACGACAACTAAAATAATCAAAGTAAAAAAAAAAATCAACCAAATAAAAACGCAGGCACCACTTTCGGGTAAAATTCTCTTATACAGGCGACCTTAAGGCACATGTAGGGGTCACTCGCTTGAAAAAGGAGACCCTCTTAGGAGTGTTTAATTTCCATCCTATAGTAAGCTAATCCGTTCTTTAACTAGAGTCTGACTCATATTACAACCTATTTTTCGTTGTAACATTATAAAAAATCATTTAAAAATATACTTATGTAGTATATTTTTTAATGTTTTTTTACAAAATACTAAATTAATTAATATATTAAAAATATCTCACCACAAAGTGCAAGCGTTAATAAAATCACAATTTTTTCCATTTTCAGATAATAAAATATATACCACAACGAACGTACAACCGATACCTATTTCTATTTCGTAACTAAACTAAAAATATGTACATTACTTTTTATACATGAAAAACGATAAAGCCTTACGCTTTTATCTATTGGTTTTTGATATCTTATCTTTTCCATATTGCTTTTGATTTTCCTTAAAAACGTTATCATTATTAGTACATTCGTTTTAGATCTTATAATTTAATGACATGTTTGGTCCGATATTAGTCATCATACATTTTTTTAATATTAGTAGCAAATTTGTAATGTATTGTTCGACGAATGGTGATTAGCAAAAGATAATTATAAAATACTGAACATTGAGTAGTGTTTGTTTACTAAACTCATCACACTCTCACACATATATGTATATTATACCATGGAAAAATAAATGCGAATATTTTAACGCTCAAGCCCATTGTCCTCAATTGAGAAAGACTTTCTACTAAATAATAATATTAACTTTACACATCCCACACATGACCGTCCAATCCCAAACTAGACAGAGCCTGTACTACGCAGACTTCTGATAAACATGAACATCATTTATATGCCATTTTATTAATTTCGTTTGAGGTTGGCGCTATGATTTTTCTTCTTCTCGTCTATCAGTCATCAATTCACTGCTTACTTATTCTAGCTATGTATCTTCTTTTACGCAGTCTATCCATCTTTTCTTTGGTCATCTTTTACTCTTATACCTATCCATCAACTTCCATGCTGATATACATACTTATTATATTTCTAAATACATAAATATATTTACTATAATAGAAATATTAAACCCAGACACAGAACAAATGATCGTACCGATCACATAATTATTTCTTCTGGGCGGGCATCAAGCCCATGACTTATGGCTTAGCAGTAAGGGTCACTAACTACTACAGGTCAGTTCGTTTGACAGTCTTTTTTATTATAAGTTGCCAGATCTTCAGGGCATGCATACATAGGCGCCAGAGATTATGTTACTACACATGGTTATAGTCAGTAAAAAGTCTATCTTCAGGAGTGAGCATTGAGTGTTTGCTAACATAGTCACATGTACTTTATGTAACTTTAAACCATAAAATAAAAAATACCAACTTTATTGTCACTCATATTACTGTGGGAGAGCCTTGCTTCTGCACGAATGGGCCGGCTCGACCGGAGTGATACTATGGCCTCACAGAAAACCGGTGTTATGAATTGAATTACAGGTGTCCATGGGCGGTGGTAGTTGCTTACCATCAGGTGACCCGTCTGTTTGTTTGCCCCCTTATAAAATCAAAAAATGAAGCTAGTACCACACGTCAGCCATCAAATAATAGTACTATATTTAATCTTGTATATAATTGATAAACAGATAAAATGGTGACTTGCTTAATAAGTACATTTAAATCTGCGACCGTATACCAATGACAGTAGCACAGTTAAGAAGCTCATTAGGATTTTGAAGGGCAAGTGAACTGACGAGATTTCAACCTCGACGTTTTGCAATGCAATGGTCTTTCCTCGGATAGTATCATTGAATGTGAGTAAAATAATGTGAAAATAGATTAGTTCATATTATATTTTTCATTTACCACTTGATAAGACACGAAAACTCCTTTACAACAATACTGGAAGAAAAAAATAGAAGTAAAAAAAAAAAACAAAGAAGGCTAACGGATCAACCTACATACAGCAAGTAAAGGAGAAAGTGAGAGTCGTTGCTTATCAAGAGGTTAAATAAATTCGCCACCGACATGGACCTAGGCCTTAAATTGAGAGAGATATATTTTTCTTAGAATTTTCATATTATTATGTATACAAAAATATTTATCATGAATTAAAGATTTTTTAATACAATAATAATATAACATACTATCATATATTTTTTGTAAAAATAACTCTAAATAAAAAAACATGTTTCGTACTTTATTCTTCAGTAGATAAAATTTGTAGGAACTATTCAAAATTACTCATACCATCATTACTGACACAATCTTCAATGTTGTGCCGATAATGGCGATAACCATTTTTATGACAAGAATCTTCTGGTCTGGTTTATTCGAATTTACGTAGTTATCCTTGTGATTACGCATACCTTTGATAGTGAAGTCCGTATTGGCTTGTTGTACTATTTATAGAAAGTCAAATGTGTCTTGAATACAAGTGACGATTTTAGGCATAATGAAATAAAAGGTTGACAAGTTAAATTACCAAGTATTATCCCATGAATGAACTTATATAGCTGTATAAATATTGTAAGCGTAAGTAAATCTACTTTAACTTTAGAAGCAAGGTGATAACTATAAGTACAACACCATCATATCGAAACTAGTGGAACTATTATTTCAGTTCAGCCATGAAGAGCCATGCTTTGGCTAATATGGGTTGGCGCGACGGAGTGATACCACTGCCTGACAGGAAACAGTGTCATTCGATTCTTTCGTTGATTTTCACCGAGTGAGTGAGGTAACTTGGATAAAAGCTCCCTCCCCGACCCCTAACTCTGGGGAAGACGACTAAAAAGGTGGCAACGCATCTATGTTCTAGTGTTGCCGGTGTTCATGGGCATTGGTAACCAATTAACATCGAGTGAACAATCTATTCGTTCCTCCCCGCCAACCAAGATAATTCATGATGCAAAATTGTGGTCTAAATTTACACTATTTTAATTTACACTACACTAATAGTTAGATTTTATACAAGATATAGATAAGATCAATAACGCGGTGACCAGGTATGTTAAAGATATCAAAGATATCATCAAGCTGCTTCATAGATCGTATAACATAAGTGTGTTTATGTATGTTTTTGCCATATTTTAAGTATTTAACATTGTCAAACTAAGTTAGATCTATCTTTTATTTCACCTTCCTCCAATATATGATTGACATTCTCATAAACTACACCTACGTAATCAGGTCGTCGAATGCTTCACATAAAGCCAATTCCTATTAAGATGCTTTGTATGTTATAATTAAGTCGCAACATCGACTATCGCTATACATGTTACTTATAGGTAATTTACGAGTATGTATATCAGGTCATATTTTTATAAATATTTGGTATTGCGTTCGTAACGTCAACCTGGCTTTTTACGTGATAAGGGTCCAGTCAACCCATGCAAATACGTATCAAATAAGTGCAAGAAATATTTTTGGCAAATGTATTAAATATAATTTCCCATAGTGTAAATTTTGGGTGATACTGTAAATTTAGGGTATAGTAGTAATTTGTACATTCTTCTCATTTCTTATTTTAATATTCTACATATATATTCTAATATATTATATATTCTATATATGATATATACTAATATATATTTATATACATCAATATAAAATTTTACTCTCCTGTCCATTAGAGATTGCCTGGAAGACCTACGATAAGGTCGACCATTACGCATTCATGTTTCATGACATAATTTTTATATATTTATTTTTATTTTTAAAAGACAACTCCTTCATTAGGAATATATATCCTCTGACGCGGGGATACTAAAAACATACATAAAACAACAATTTGTGGATCACACAAAGTGGTGTCCAATGTGGGGATCGAACCCATAACACTCAGCGTAGTAGGAAGCGAGGTAGCGACCGCTTAAACCACTACGCCATCCGTGCAGTCTGCAGGAATGAATGAGTTCTTCTGCAATATATTACTTTGGCATAATTTTTAGAATTTCATTTATCAAAGTTTTACTCGTTAATATATTTGTGTCGTCATCTATCATGCAAATATCGATAATTTTGATATGATATGTGTAAAGATATGCTTGGATGACAGCGGTAGCATATTGATGGCACATCACAATGCGCAATGCATTTAAAATTTGCATGTCTTCTATTATATCCAAGTGGGAGTTAGTTAAGAACGGATTTTGCGATAAAGCCACATTAAGGAGGTCAAAAGCTCTCGAATGTTTGTTAGAAATTCTGATATAGTGTACTCGTTTCAAAGGAGGACTCTTTAGCTAAGAACGTACAAAATTATGACGTTACCGAATTACCCATTTTTAAAAACTAAATAACAAATAACTATATTCGAAATAATAATAATAATATATGCATTGAAATAATTTTATATGCTATGAATCTCTGAAAAATGGACAAACCACAGTTAACTGAGTTTGACGAAAACTCCAGAATCTGTCGGGGATGGCGGAAGAATGCAAATTGCAATTCTCGCCCCCATGGCTATTGACAAGGAGAGGAACACAGGTTTTTAGTCGGTAATAGTCCGACAGCCCCCTTTGCTGTCCCCCACTGGGTGAAGGACATCCATGAGGATCTTCCATCCCGTAACCAAAAAAAAACAAAAAAGTCCAGGATTACAAAATTCGACAGCCACTATTTCATTATTTTATAAATTGCCTTGGTGGTGCAGTGGTAATGTATGAGACTGCTGCGCTGAGGTCTCGGGTTCAATTCCCGGGTCGCACCAAGTGTTTGTATGATCTGCAAATATTTGTTTCAGAGTTTGGGTGTTTGCTTTGATAATATATATGTATGTACAAAAGGAGTATACAAGTATTCTATCAGTCAATCTAGCTTTCATAGTACAAGCTCTGCTTAGTTTGAGTTATTATTATATTACATTATCACTATTTATTTTATTTTAAACACAATTGCATAAAGGCCTCGTAATGTACATGAGTCAATTTACCATTATACCCATAACTGGTCACATAGAGTAACACTCAGGTTATTACCCTATCCGACCAGTTATGGGTAGGTATAACGGTACATTGACTTATTGAATTAAAGAGTAATTGTCACTTTGTTTTTCATTATCATCAATTCGTCTTGAACTATGCACTAATGGGAAATAGAAAAGCTATCAGCTCCAATACTAATAGAGAAATTCAAATGGCGTTTTCAAATATTCAGTTAGCGGTGAATATACGAGGAGCAGTCTGCAGAAATAAAAATATTGTTCGGCAACATTACTCCATCGAGTGGAAGAACTTATTCAACTATTTATGAAACAAAGAATACTGCCAAAAACTA